CAAGCATGAATGCATTTGAAGACATTGTCAACTTCTGTCTAAAGTGGGGCCCTGGAGTATAGGACTGTTTCATCTTGTACAACAGAAGCTTATAGGCCATAAACAAGCCTCCTTGCTAATCTACAAGCCATCCTGGGTCGCACACTTGCTCATCTTGTTTGCTGATACTCTAAGAGTAGGGTAAACAAATAAACAAAAAACATAGAAGACAGTTTTTCATTTTTCACTGTTTTCTTGAACATTGTTGAGATAGATACTTCTACATAACAACCTCAGAGCAGAGGGGAAAAGCAGTGGACATATCTGCATGCCACATATGCAGGCTAATTATGTGTGTGTAATCTATCTATTTCATATGCACATAGATTGAAATGTATCTGCATCTGTAACATACAAACATACTGCATGAAGTATGCCTGCAATATTGAGTACACCATTAAATTTTTTTTTTTAAAGATTGGCACCTGAGCTAACAATTGTTGCCAATCTTTTTTTTTTTCTTCTGCTTTATCGCCCCAAACCTCCCCTGTACATAGTTGTATATCTTAGTTGCAGGTCCCTCTAGTTGTGGCATGTGGGATGCCGCCGTGATGTAGCCTGACGAGGGGTGCCATGTCTGTGCCCAGGATCCGAACTGGCGAAACCCTGGGCCGTCGCAGTGGAGCGCGCGAACTTAACCACTCAGCCACGGGGCCGGCCCCAACCATTAAATCTTAAACTTGGTTAAAACAAATATTTTTCAAATGAATATGTGATTGCAGATGGAATTGAAAGGAGCATTAAACTAGAGTGCCACGTGCTAGAACTTTCAATTTCCTTCTCAGTGTCATCTTTCATGATGTTTCCTTTTAACTTGGTTTAATAATATAATCCTTATTCAGAAATGAGCTTTGGTGAAAAAAATCAATAATTACTTTTGTCACTATTTATTTAATGAATCCATGGAAAGACTTCATTAAATTATAAATGCTTTGTTACTGATATTCTCATAATAGATTTTTGAAATTATGGTGTGAGCCAGTTATCCATTTCAAGGAAGATACAACACTGAAAGATCAGTACATGTCCAGTGAAATTACTGCTGGTTTTGCTAATGCAATATTCATGAGAATTTGCCAGAGACAATCACATTTAATCCAAGAGAATAAGAATTTGAAATGAATTCTTTTAAATTGTAATTATCCATTGGCAAAAAGTTTAGCAAGTTTTATTGTTTGTATAATTCAAATGACTTGCTATCCTGTCAACATGGGAAGAATATGTTTTGAGAATATTTATAGTTTATGAATGGAATCATAAATATGGGTCTTCTAAGTATGATTGATATTAATTTTTTGTGGTTTGTATGCATTTTTAATTTATTTATCTTCAGTAAAAAAATTGAGCCTGTGGCTATTATTTATGCTTAAATTGTTTTTCAAGGACTTGATGCAACCTAGGGTGGGGTAAATAATGTCTGAATTTGGGTAGAATCTGTTGTTTGAGTCTACTTTGGTGGTATTCAGTTCTGTTCTAGCTGACTCTGGAGTTTGAATCTGTGAGAAATCAAAGACATTGGAAGTTGAAGGACCAAATCAACATATCCAGGGAAAGATGGGCATCATTTAAAAGTCAGAAGCTCTCCAAGCATCACCAGCCATCATTGTTTCTTAGTAGTTTGTTTTACTACATTGTAAGAAATGAATCGCTGCAAAATCTGGGGATTTCCATACCCTAGAAAGTCAGCATTTTACATTTCATATTGCAGAAAAATTTAGGAATAAAGTAAAGAGACTTTTTTCAGAGTTTGGTGCCTTTTGTATCTTTAACATCATAATACATACGTTCACAGAACTTGAATCTCCTAAATGGTTTGAACACTGATGAAAACAGACTATTCTAGCCTTCATATCAGAACAAGTAGGAAACACTAAGAATTTCTTTCAGACTCTGAGGGGCATTTTTGGAGGGCATTTTGCTGGGTTCTTTAGTGCTCTTAACTACATCTTTGGAATTTCTTTACCTGCAATTCGCTTGAGGTGGGTAAATGCACCTCCTTCAGATGGTCATTTAGGATTCCCACCTCAGTCCCTAGGCACCCATCACTGCAACTCCAGGTTCTTTCTGTTTACTTGTCTTAACCACTCACCACCCCTCCCAATGGTGGCCCTCTTGGACAGGCTACAACACAACTCTATGCTGGCTCTCTAACCCGTAGCCCATGGATAATGCTCACATGTCCCATGTTCTAACAAACTCTGATGCACAGGTGGCCCCTGATGCAGTAACATCTCTTTGCTCTGCCAGTAGAGCATCAGCCAGCTACAGTGTCTCCCCTTGAAGATTCCCCAGTCAAGAGTCAAATCCCGGGCAAGAGCAAATGGGGTTGCTGACTATCCCAACCACTACCACCAAGTTCCAGGAGACAAGTATCAAACTTTCTGAGATGTTCCATTGAAGTCCCTGTCCCCTGCACTTGAGATAAGTAAAGCCTTCCTCCTTAGAGGTACATGCAAATCCCGTCACACCCCAATTCTCTCCAAAAATCCTCTTTTCATTGTCAATCTTCTCTTGGCCTTTCTTGCCTCTTTAAAGGGCTGGAAATAGGTAATTAATTCAGGGTCCCAAAAGCAGTTTTCAGTGCTCTCCTTTGTAAGTCTGGCTTAGGCAATCTTGTACCTCATTTTGTAAATTGGAAATAGCAATCTGTTTCTTGGCTTATTATCATCTCAAGATTGCAGCTGAAACTGAGAACAAAAAAAGTCCATTTTAACATCCTATAATATCCACATATCAGTTGTGTACTGTCCTCTATCAAATTATTTTAAGCAAACGTTGATATGTATATCAATATGTACAATCTGCAAAGCACAATATGGGGATTATGGGATGCTCCTACTCAAGCAGGAAAACTAAAACAGGTAGCAAAGAACAACTAGATTTATCAAATCTGCTAACTGCAGTTATAGGATTGCCCAAAATTCAGTCTAGTTTAATGATTAGTAGCACAAACTCTGTAGCCAGACTGCCTGGGTTTAAATCACAGCTTTTCTCCTTCTAACTGTGTGACCTTAGCCAGGTTATTCAATCACTCTGTGCTTTAGTTTCTTCATCTGTCAAATGGAGATAAAATAGTACCTCTCTCAAGGGAGTCTTATGAGAAATGCCAGAGTTAGTATTTGTAAAATGCTTAAAACACTATAAAGCTGTTTGTTAAATAAATATAATGAACCTCTTAAATGAGGGGGGGGGTTATATCATGCGTGTATTTATATATATATATCACATTAAATAATTTACTGAAAATGAACAAAGATGAATTCTACCAAAAAGAGGAAATGATGAGCACTCATGCAAAAGATTGTGCTAAAAAATAATGTCTAAAACAAAGGCTCCACAGGCCTTTGGATAAAATTTTAGTTTTTATTGGAATTCTGCTGTTTATTACCTGAATCATTCTACAAAAACCTGAAATGACTTACAATGGAGTATATTTAAAAGTAAGGATCATGAGAAATACGGTAGAAGATAAAAATAGATCCAAGGGAGAACAGTGTAGCAGAAGTCTATGCAGCTGGTAAAATTGTCTTACTCAATTTGACTTTCAGTTTCCTAACAAACAGTCAAAAAGAAAATATGACTTTAAATCATGCTGTCCATCAAGCCTAAAACAAATCAAAACCAAAAAATTTAAAAACTATACTAACCTATTACAATAAAGAGGTCCTTAAGAGGCAATAAGAACCAAGAAAGAGAAAAACAGAAACCTGTAAGATGTCTACATCAAGGGGACAATGAGCAATATCCCGAATAAAATCTTCAAATCCTTCCCTTCAATTAATGCAGTTTTATAAAAGATTATCTTATAATAGCTCTCAATGTAAATTGATGCCATCCTCTTGCTGCCTAGTTCAGTGATGAGAATCCCATAAGAGGTCAAGAGGATATGGTCCAAATCTTCAGGTTTCTGATATTCTGATTTAAAATGTCTATAGGAATGGATGGACTGTATGTCCTTTAAACCCTTCTTCCCGCATGTTGTTCCTTTCAACTGAGGTTTGATGAAAGGTGAGCTGCAGACAGTTTGAGGTTATGTAGTCTGGCAAGGGCCTGCAGTGCAGGCATTCTGTGCTACTGATTAAGGGCAAATCCACGTGCTTTAAAAATCAACTAAGCTCATGGTAGAGTTGACAGTCCTGCTGTTAGAGAATGCGCTGGCAGAGGACATAGCACATAATTCTCTTTGCTGCCTTGTTATTATAAAATTCTACAGTTAACAGCAACAAACTCTGCACTTAGAATGATTTGTAATTTTAGATAACCATATCTTAACTTCACTTTAGCTTAGATATAAACTATGAATGTGGGAAGTGAATTCTAGTTCTAGTACCTCTCTGTTAAGTTATGTGATCTTGAACAAGTCATTGCGCTTTCCTGTGTCATAATGTCATCATCTCTAAAATGAAGAAGTTGAATAAATTTCAGGCTCTTAGCATTGGATGACTTTTTTTGTGAATATGACTAAGAAACTACACTGTTAAATGCCTATCTTTGTGTCCATAGCCTTTAGAATGATTTTCTATATTGTGCGCATTTGTCAGTTGGGTCTAAATAGACTTCATTGCTCTGATTTCACCAGTTATTAAAGGAGAGAATTTCAAGCCTCATTTTTCTTGTGAAATATAACGAGTGGATTAAGGAGCTATGTTAAAGGATAGGAAAGCATGTCCCTTCACACAGACAGCTGTGCACCTTGTCTGTGACAACCTCTGGGAAGAAGGCAGCTCAATTCTCTAGAAAGTATATCTTTTGGAATATCAATTATCCATGAATGAGATGCTTCAGATTTACCCAAATGTCGAGAATCTTGCTTCCACTACATGAGTTTTTCAGAAGTAAAATTGGAGAAAGCAGCTGTTGTCTGAAGCATGTTCTTGAACAACACCCTGTATGTAATTCTTATTAAATGCTGACTAACCAGTACAACTTCATACAATCTTTTTTCCCCTCCTCCTTTCCAGCACCAAGGAAAAATTGGAGTTAAATTTAATGTTGGGACAGATGACATCGCCATCGAAGAGTCCAATGCAATCATTAACGATGGGAAATACCATGTAGTCCGTTTCACGAGGAGTGGTGGCAATGCCACATTACAGGTGGACAGCTGGCCAGTGATCGAGCGCTACCCTGCAGGTAAGCCAGTGAATGTGTATCTGGGGGAGATTTTGTGAAAAACAAACTGGAAAACAAAGCACTGATTTGCGTCCGTTTCACCAAATTGTGGGTTTTCTGAGAAACCATCAAGTGTTTATTGGACTTTAGAGTCATGAATGTAATGCTGTCCTAACCTGTTCTTGATACAGTGTACAAATGGCATTTTATAGAACTTGAAGGCACACTTTATTGTTTGCAAAATTGAGGACATCAGTGAAACCAGAAAAATGCACACAGAAAAGACACAGCATGTCAAAGCTCTTTTTACTGGATCTTTGCATTTGAACAAAGGAAAGGCTTTGTCAAAAGTAACAAAGTTAAAATTTAAAACTAGGGGAGGGAATATTACAACATCTTTCTCTAAAAGAGAATAGGACCGGATGATTCCTTTGATGGTGATGCGTAGCTGAAACTCATGAAAGGTGCAGGAAGGCCAAGGAACAAAAATACTGTAAATCAGCAGTTATAAGAACATTTGCATAAATGAAGTTTGTTTTCACTGTCATATAACCATGGGGTTTCACAAGGATTCTGTGACACTAGTATTACTCATTTCAAGTCTATAAAATGAATGTCAAGTTATTATTGATAAAATAAAAATTATCTTGTTCATTATTAATGAGCTTTGTCAGTACTATGTTATTGAAACAAAGGCAGTAGATTAGAAACTTAAACCAGTGTTAGTTGTGTCCATTCTCAATTTAAAAAAACATATTATTTTAAAGTAAAATACAAATTAAAAGTATAAATGTATTTTACTGCAATTATTGTCCTCTCTATATTTTGGTATGAAAGAGCTTACTAAAACATTAGTCTTATTTCTCTCTGTTCCCCTTTAAGATACAACTGTTTTTTTGTACAGCAGATTTGTAGTATAATATAGAGTATAAAAATAAGTTTTCATTTTGCATAATAAAAATGATTCCCAAAATCTATATATAAACCCCTCTATTACAAGTATTTTTTTTCTTGGAAGAAATAATTTGAGGAAATAACTAACTTATTTAACAAAGATCAATTTTCCTTAGTGCTGAGTCACAATTATGGAATGAAATGTCTGTGATGCCCTTGTGGACCCTTTCTGATTTATAAAATTCTGCATTTTCAAGCATCATTTCAAACCTATTCAGTAAACCTGGTGCTTTGCAAATATTTGCTGAATTACATGTAATAAGAAAACTGTTCTATGACAAAATTCACAAGCAAGCACATTAATACTATGTCCAGTGCCTATTATAATACTGGCAAACCGTAGAAACTCAATAAATATTTGCTGAATTGATGTCCTGGAAATTATCCTGGTTTTACACTACAATTACAAGAACGTACACCTTCTGTTACCATCTATGATAAAATGAAGGAAGGGCCAATCTGGAAGGAAAGTAACTGACACAGGGATGCAATGTTACCTAGCCCCTGGTGATCTCTTATTGTGTTTACTGAAATATGAGTAGAAATGTATTTTTTAGAGTAACTACAACCTCAGTGGAATTACGGAAAATTAAATGGGTGAATTTTCTAAAATACAGATTAACCAATACCTATTTACTGAGAGGAAGTCATTGCATTGGACACCATGAAGGATGTAAAGTAGGACGAGGTTTAGGCCCTGTCCCTGGGATGCTGTCATCTGTGAATAGTGGACCTGAACATGTAAAACGGTAAATTCCGTTACAGTAACAGTGGGGCAGTTTCTTCTGGAAGCCTGGCTTTGTTTCACCAGTTAATTCTTTGAAATTATCTTAATTTAGTAACTTTTTACTCTCCCCACACTTTCCATTTGGTATCTTTAAGAGCTCTGTCCTAGATAATGTTAATGGTGACCTATGAGGGGAGAGAAGTCTCACTCTCAAGTTAGTTTGGAAAGTTCTGGGTTAAACCAAGTTAAAAATATCTATACTTGGACTTTATTACATAAATATTCATAATGCATCTCTAAAAGAGAAATATAGTATGCATTTCCCAAGCATAGATAATCAGAACCTAGTTGTCTAATGCATTAAGGCATTTGGGTAAATATTTTGCATTTAAAATTTTCTATGCCTCACTATTTTAACATATTTTATCTGATTAATAATCCTTTAATTGTGCACATACCAGATACTATGTACTAGGTATACTTCTTAAAAAACATAGTCTCTGTCTTCTTGTGGCATGCTAATGTGCAATTTGAGTACTAGTAGCTGAGATTGGGGCAGTATTAATTGTCAATGAAAATTTGTATATTTTTTCTACACTAATATTTTTTAACACATGTAATGTCTTGTTTACTCATTAAGTGGATGCTCAGTATAAGAAACAATATAAAATATATTCAAGAATCAGAAGCTGGCAATGTCATGATAATGAAGGAGCAAATCTTTAGAAAAGTTATTTTAGCTGCAACCTTTTATATTTAGTCAAAGATTCTAAGTGCCCTTTCACCAAAAAAGCATTTTAGATAATATTAATAGATCAAGAATGGGAAAAGTTGCAATTATTCTGAAGGGTACAAGCAAGGGGAAAACACAGAGTCTGCCCTCAAGAAAATAAGAGCGCTTGTGAGAGATTTCTATATATACATATAAAAAGTTAGTGATCAATATGCAAAGAACTCAGGGGAGTCGCCATTGTTGTCATCAAGTATTTTATTAATCATCTGCTCTGTGTACGTTTCAGCATGATGCTGAGGTAGGAAATAAGCCACAAAAATTTCAAAACCTTTTCCTCTTGAGGCATCATCCACAACAATGCCGTGAAGGCTGAATACAAATTTAAAAGTACGTCTTCTAGGTTAAAGGTTTTAGAACAAAATGATTTTATGTATGAGTTCAATATAAATGTCTAGTATATCATTTTTATATTGACTTGTGGTATGACTATTTTTATTTTAAAAGTTTTTCTTGCTATTATTCATTAGAAAAACAGCTGGACTAATGCTTTTACCACCAAATCTTATAATCAGAGAAGCGGGAACCAATAGGCTATATGTGGTTCCTTTCAAAGTGCCTGCACTGCAAAATATAGGTAATAAGGACTGAAATTAGTAATTAAGCACAGCACTTAACCTTCCATTATAGGGCTTTGTGGTAAGTGCTTTTATATGAAGCAATCCATCTGGTAGCGACACTATACCTTTAATGAAAAGCACCTAAAGCATTGACCAGAGGTATTACCCTATAATTGTCAGGAAAGCTTTGATAGAGAAACTAATTAGTAGAGGTAGATTTTATGCTCTTTTGGAGTGTATGAAATATTCCTGTAACTCAACAATTCACATTTTAGAATAAATATTGAATTTTCTGAATAGTAGACTCAGTTTCTATGATTTTCTGTGCATAGAGCAAAGTATAGAAATAATATTTTCAAACCATTTGAAGTTGAGAAAGCCATTTCTTGGTGCTTATCAGTTAAAGATCTAGAATATAATGCATCATTAATCTCTGATTTGTCCTTGTCCCTAATTACAGTTATGTAGCAAAATTTTCTCTCTCAACAAAAATAAACTTCCTCTTTTCATAATGTTAATCCACAAAACCTAACATCATTTTACTTGCCCAGACTAAAGATTGGTCTAGATAAATCACAGTGATCTTTGAGAATAAATCTTTGAACTCATTTGTCTACCATGGTGTGCCCAAAAGGTGTCCTTTATATTCGTCACAAGGTCAAATATTCATTTTATTCTCATTAAGTGAACACATCAAATCAATAAATATTTAAAGGATGTGTCCTGTGTTAAGAGAACATTATTAGGCCTACCCTCTGGCTACAGAGACAAGTAAAAACTGTTCAAGATTAAAAATACAATATATGAGAAAATATAAAAATTATCATCTCATATTTGGCTAATTTCTGAATAAGACTTACAAAAATAGACTTCAAAGAAGAGTCCATTTTGGAGTGAGCGGTCTAGTAAGACCATGAAAAAAAGGAGGAAACTTTCACTTGGGTCCTAAAAGGCTAGATTTTTACTTGGAGGATAGCATGCATTCATTTTAGTGGGATTAGCAGGAAGGAATTCAGACAGAAAATATTTAGAGAACTATTAAACAGTCCAGGTGTCAAAAGACAAAGGGCTAAAATAGGATGTTAGAAAATAAAGAGGATAAATGCAGACTACACTGTAAGACCTGGTGAACAATTGAATAAAAGGGGTGTCATTCCCACTTTTTGGTTTCTTTCTCTCTCTTTCTTTTTAACCATCAATTACTCAAAGTTCTAATGCTACAATGTGTCACCAAACTACACTAGGTACCAATGAAATGGAAACCTGTGGTAGAAATGAAGAGACCTCAAAGACATGGTTATTGCTTGCTAAGAATTTAGTCTGTTTGGGAGACCAGAAAGATTCAGCAAACCTACCAATGTAATTAAATTGTAACTTCAAAATTAGTAATACGGAGTTTAATTGCTTTAGAGTATAAAGAAGGGAGAAAATGATGGTCTGGAGTGGTGTAATAAAGTAGGAATGGGAAGATTTGAAAGAAAGAGGAGTAGCTCAAGGAAAGACTTCATAGAGATGGTGTAAATACTTTTTGCATGACCATTCAGTTTGGCTCAAAGATCTTAGAGATGTTATCGCTAAATCTTGACTTTGTTTTCATATTTGAAAGGCTGGTAAAATATTTCAGGGCTCAGGAAAGTCCTATTGATGATTGCCCTTTAAATTCTATATACTTAGTTTAGATTAACTGATAGATTGATTTTTAATTCAAGTCATTAATAAATATATTGACTATCTATTTGAGCCATTCCATTATTTAGAGTGTCCTATTTGGTACTAAGTGTCCGCTGGTTTGATGATTTTGATGATTTTATTTATCTTTAACCTAATTTTTATTAGATACGATGTAATTGAGAAAATCTACCTCGCTTATAATAATAGCATTTGAAAGAGGGCAGGAACTTCAAAGATCTATTCCATCTCCATCTCCTTCCTTTTTCAACCAATAAAATGAAACCTTGCAGAGGCTTATTGATGTGATGAAGAGCATTAT